GCTCGTGACCGAGACGCCGGTCGTGGCGCTGCTGCGCTGGACGAGGCCGCACCCCGAGACGCACGTGAGTTTGGACGTGTATTTCGCCTCGGCCTCGCACATGGACAGCGGCTACAGCGGGTACCCGACGCTTCTAGCGACCTTTGGTGACCTTGTGCGCTTCACGCCTCACTTTGAAATGTACCGCGCCGACGCGTGGGGCTGCGGTGACGTCAGCGAGGCGAGTCTCTGCGCCGCACTCTGCGTGGACGGAGCGTGTACGTACGATCCAGAAGACGACGCCACCCTCGGTCTTGACGGCAAAGACGTCTTGGCCCACGATATCTTGGCGTTCTGCGCCTATGAGCACTCGACGACGAACGCGTCGGCCTTTTGGGACGTGGCAAACCGCATCATGACCGAGTGCCCCGCGGGTGTCGATCCCACGACGTGCCGCGCCCGCGTCTTGACGTCATTTACGCCGGCGGTCGGCGCAGCGATCGCAGCTTGTGTGGACAACAATGCGACGCACTTCTACAGCGCCGAGCTCGCGCATGCGTACGCTGCGGGGGTTGCCACGTACCCGCTGGTGACGATCAACGACCAACCCCTCTACGGTAAGCGATGACCAACACACAGGGAGACAAGGATGTGTCGGCGTAGAGGACTGGACGTGCGACGAGCCGATTTCGATGACGACCTGCGCACCGCTCAGCGTGCTCTGCCGGTACCTCGAGTACTCGAACGTGACGCTTCCCGACGGTGTCTGCGACCCCGCGTACTGGCAGAGTCGGTGCCTTCCGCCGCGTGCGATCGACGACTGCGGTGTCTGCAACGCGCACAACAGCGCCAATTGGAACCTCGCGTGCCGCGGCTGTGACAATATTCTCCACAGTAACAAGGTGACCGTTGTTGAGTGGACATTCATGCTGACACACGCATGTAGACAATCGATGTCTGCGGCGTGTGCGGCGGCGACGGCTCGTTTGACATTTGCGGCGAGTGTCTCCCGGCCAAGGACAAGCGTCGGGATACGATATGCGCCGACTGTAAAGGCGAACCGTGGGGCCCGGCAACGCGCGATGCGTGTGGCGTCTGTGGTGGCCATGGTACCAATGCTATGAGTGTCCGTTCTTCGTCGTGACCTGTATCCTCTAGGATCGTTTGATGCGTGTGGACTGTGCTTCCAAGCCGACGACCCGCGCCGCCAAAATTACGGCTGCCAACTCGACGTCGACCCCGATGCAGTGCACCTCAAGCTCTTTCTTCGTGGTATCAGGTACATGCTCATTTCATATAGAGAAATGAACACATGTACAATACTATTACCATGCTAGTGCCGAAGCGTTTGGTCAGTCGGCGGCCGTGACGACGTTGGCGTCGACGCTCGCCGCTGCGGCAAAGACCCAAGCCACCAGCGTGCACATCAAGTCGATCGAGACCGTCGACGACGCCATTGTCGTCAACATTTTTCTCCTCCCGAAGGCGTCGGCGGAAGCGGGTGAGAGTGAAAACGTCGTGGCGCGCCTGGACGCTATCGACGTCAGTGCGCTCGTCCGACAAGCCTACGTGCACCATGAGGACGCGTCGAGGTACAGCCTAAAAACGCAAGCGCTGACGCTGTGAATGCGGTGCCATATATGTAGTCGCACGGTCGACGTCAAAGTCCTGTCGATGGAGGGCGGCGCGAAGAAGACGCGCACGGTCCCCAAGGCGTGGTACTTTGGCGGGCTTGCTGGCGGGCTTGTCGCGAGCATCGCGCTCACGACTTGGTTCGTACAACGGCGCGATCGGCGTCTCAAGAGCGACATGCGACAGCTCTTTGCTCGGTACACGCCACTCGTTGCGATGGACGAAGAAGAGAGTTAAACCAACGAATCTGCTCCTTGCCTTTTTCCCTCGTCGAACAAAATCCACGCGTGGGAAAGTTGTGGTCAGCGCATCTGGCCGACGTCGCATGATACGAAGTAGATTCCAACGCTGCTCTAAGCTCTACACGAACACTGCATTAGATCGAATACCCATCGGCGACTGAAATGAAATGGCGCGGCGTTGTCCCCATCTGCGATCTTTATCTGTCTTGCTTGGCGCGCCAGATTCGCCTGTCCCGCCGCGCCAACTTCAAGCCGCGTGGCTTTGCACATGGCTGCAAAAAAGTGCTGAGTCCCCAAAAATCGGATTTGATATCGCGTATTTTATCAGCTTGACAAGATTCCGAGGGAGATGGCTGCAGACCGAGCCGATCCCTCTCAGGAAATGGTCCATGTCTCGTCTTTTGGCCCTTCAGAATGGTCTCTGCAACCCGGCAACGCGAGGTGTCACCTTGTACGCTGTGGGCGGCGTCGTAGCGCAAGCACCTAGATAACGGATGGGCGCCGGTCAAAGCGTCGTCCAAACGGCAATTTCAGTGCTACTTTGCACCCTTCCTTGCCTCAGGGCGCATCCATGGAGCAGCCAACTTCAAGCGTGGCTCGCTCGCCTCAGTGGGATGCTCAGCAAAGGCGGCCAGAAAGCGCGCGTTCATGTGGGACACGCCATCCCTCCAGCCATCCCTCGACTGTCCCGTTTGAAAAAGCTCATTCCCCAATTTTCTCTTTCAAAAATCGAGTTCTCAACATGATCGAATGGTACGCGCCGCAGCGCTACGACGTCGGCGTCATCGTGCAGCTCATTTGCTGCCTCTGCGGCATCGGGTCGCTCTCGATGCCCCACATCTTTGCCGAGTCGGGCGCCGTCTTGTCGGCCATCACGTTTACACTCAACTTTTTCTTCAACACATATGCGACCGTCGCGCTCTGCCAGTGCCTCCTCGCGCTCAAGGACGAACCGAAAGTCCAGACATACGTCGACCTCGGGTTCTACCTCTTTGGGAAGACCGGCGCTCTCCTCGTCCAAGGCACGCAGCTCGCGTCCTGCTTTCTGCTCCCGATTGCCTTTCTCGTGCTTGGCGGCGCCACGCTCCTCCCGTCCATCTTTGACGGCGCGATCGACATTTCGTCGACGTGGTGGATCTTACTCATGACGCTCGTGCTGCTCCCGATCATCTACATCCGCGTGCTCCACGAAGCGTACCCGGTCCTGGTTGCGGGCGCCCTCGGCACGATCATCGCCGACACGATGGCGACTGTCGACGCCTACTTGGCGCCCGGCGGCGACGTCTTTGAAGCCACTGCGTCGCCTGGCTTTTCAAACGTCCTCAACACGTTTGGTGCCTTCGCGCTCGCCTATGGCGCGGCCACGATCGTGCCGTCGATGCAGAACCACCACCCGCGCCCCGAGAGCATGCCGAGCACGATGGTCTACGGTATGCTGCTCATTTCCGTCTTTTACGTGGCCCTCGGTGCCGTTGGGTACGCGCACTTTGGCTGCGCCGCGCCCAACAACCTCTTGATTGCCATGTCGGCGACCACGGAGCGCCGCCGCATCGCGTTCATCTGCATGCAAGTGCACGTCATGATCGCGCTCGCGATCTTTATGAACCCGTTCTTCATCTACTTTGAACGAAAATGGGACCCGTGGTTTGCCAAGACGGACGCCAACGACAATGACGATGTTGAGAAGGCCGAAGCTGGCTTTGCTGCAGTCCGCACGCCGACGCACGGTGGGTCCGACGAGGATGCGAGTGGCGTCGACGAGGTACGGGCGACGCGGGTCGCGTTTCTGCGGCGGATTGTCTTTCGCTCGAGCATGGTCGGTATCCAGTGCTTCGTGGCCATGCTCACGCAGAGCTCGTTCTCGGACATTGCCGACCTCATTGGCGCGTCCGTCATGAACCTCTGCTCGGTGATTCTGCCGCTCATCTTTTACTACTCCATGTTCCGCACGAGCATGTCGAAGGCCCACAAAATGCTGTGTGTCACCGTCATCATCGTCACATCGCTCCTCGGCGGCTACAGCACGTACCACGCGATCGCCAACATCGTCGACAACTCGTCGACGTACAAGTTGTTTTCGTCGGCGCCGGCCACGTACGCGCCAACGTCGTTCCCGTACTGCCCCGCGGGCTTTGCGACGCGCAAGGAGGCGTGGATTGCCTCGTTGCAGCACTAAACACATAGAAACAAATAGCAGTCGTCGATCAACTTATCTTGTGGTAGTGGCATCATTCTGGACGACATTACAGGACCGAGTTGGGCACGAGTAAATAGCCAAAGAGAAGCGCCATGAGCACCCCCATGAGCGCCACCAATCGGTCGTTGCGTGGACTCGTCTCGTCGTTGACGGCAACGGGCAAGACGACGCGGCTGCGCTTGGGCTTGCGCCGGCCGTCGATGCGCAGCCGGCCAATGCAGAGCTGCTCGACCATGTCCTGGGCAGCCTTGGAGTGCCCGACCTCCTTGAACTCTTCGTGGGCGTCTTGGCCCGCGAGGTCCATGAGAATTTCGGGCCCACCTGGGTGCGTCTCCAAGAATGCGGTGATGTCGTAGACCTTTTGGCGGCCGTCGTCGCCGAGGATGAGCCAGCAGTCGTCGGTCGAGGCATGGCGAAGCACCTCGGCGGCCGTAAATTCATGCAAATCGCTCATATGGAGCAGGACGCGCTGTCGTCGCTTCCAGAGTGTGTCGACGAACGCGGTCTTCAAGCCACGGCCGTGGCGCATGCACCGCGACCTTTGACAAAAGATCGTGCTAGCCGCGGTGTGATTCGACACATTTACGTTATATTTGACCAATCCGCACTCTGTGTGGCACATGCCGAATTGAGAAGAGGTGCCGCTTTCTGCCAGCCAATCACACGAAGAGAGTCCAGCGCCAAACAAGGACGACGACGATGTCGGTGTACGATGAGATTGAGATCGAGGACATGGAGTTCAACGAAGACGAGCAAGTGTACTACTACCCGTGTCCCTGCGGCGACAAGTTCTTTATCGGCCTCGACGAGCTCCACGACGGCGAAGACATTGCGAGCTGTCCGTCGTGCTCGCTCACGATCCGCATCATCTTTGACGCCGACGCGCTGCCCGAGCTCCGTGAAGACGACGAGCATGACGAGGAGGCATGAGAGGATATAACTTAGAGAAAATGCACACTTAGTGGTCCGCGACGACCAAATCGACGAGGTTGCCGTGCAGGACGTCGCCGAGCTGGGCAATGTGGGCGCCCATGCGCTCACTCTCGGCGTCCGACAGCTGCAGCGTCGACGCAGCCTCGTCGTTGGACATGGCCAAAATGCGCACTTGCGTCTGCGTGGGCGACACTCGCTCGCAGAGCACCCTGTTCCGATCGCATAACATCGAATCGCCTAGATGCAGAATGACGTTATACCAGACGTTGCAGTGGCGTAGCACTGGCGCCGCGCGTGGCCACGCCTCGTCGTATGCAATCGAGCGCCCGACCAGCGTTCGTCGGTTCATGCTCTTGAACTCGCGCGCCAATACGTTCAACGGCTCAAGACCGCGCCGCTGCACGCGCTTGTACTCCATGGTCGTCGCAGCCAGCATCTGCCACAGCGCTAATAGAAGAGCCCCTACGCCGCTGGGCTCTACCTCGGCATCGAGACAGTGCACATAAACATCAGGCGGCGGCTGTAGCGTGAACCGGCCTTGCATACGCGGAGCCCAGAAGAGCGCCTTGACGCGCGGCGCGACGTCGTCGAGGGACTTGTTGACGAAAAGATGATAGTGCCAAGTGAGCTGGATCGTGCCGGTCTCAAGCACCTCGTACTTGCACGCGCGTTGGTTGCGCATCGCAGCGTTCGGCCCACAGAGGCCAAACGTCGCAAAGACAGCGTCCGTGTTGTGATAGAGGTTCTGGCTGACCCAGTCGAGACTTGCGAGTCGCGTCAGCGGGTCGGACAACACGGACACCTCGCGCCACGTAGTCTGCGTCGAGAGCCCACGCTACGACACCTGAGTAGCCTCATTCGTTTCAAGGCGAACGGTGTACCTGGACGCTATGGAGCGCGACCCACTGGGTCATGGCAGCGAGAAAGCGCTGCCGCCGCCGCTGCACGTCTTGAAGATCGACTTGCTCGACGAGGCTCGTGGCGGCGGCGTCGCGCAGTGCGGCGGCGACGTCCTGCCACGAGAGCGCGGTCGTCGATGACTGCGCCTGCAGTCGACCGAGCTGCGCGTGGAGCGCGGCTATGCTTCGCCGAAGCTGCGAAGTCTCGGACCGGAGCAGCGACCGGTGCTCGCGTTGCTTGAACCGGTTGTAGAGGCGCAGCTTGGTCTTCGCCGGGGTGTCCGTCTCCATCGGGCATCCGGCGTCGTCCATGCTTTGCGTTGGGTTGCGTGTCCTATGGCAATGTGTATACTATACTTATTCCCATACATTTGTGCTCGACGTGCAGTGGCACTTGCAGCGTGCGCTAGTACATCGTCTCTCTGTCGGACAACCTGGTCCATGGTACCGAACCAATAGATAGGATTCAGGCCTTGTGGTAATCGGGTTGATGGCTCAACGATTGGCGTGATGTCGTGACGGAGGTGCGAGCGCTGAGATCGCACGATACCCGAAACAGATTGTCAATGGATCTCGCACCTGAGCTGGAGCAGCGTTCATGCTGCCAGGCATGCGAACGGCACGAGGCAAGAATCAGTCGCACCGGCGGCACCTGGTACTGGTACATACTCTTATCGTCTCGCGTCTTTGGTCTTGCGAGTCGTTGGCATGTTCCGAAAGCGTTTTTCTGTGGGCGCCCGACACTTTTCAAGGCAGTCTACCACAACGTCAACTGCACGCATGACGTGTGGCGTTGCGCTGCTGCTGCATACCTTCACCTGCGGCTACATACGCTGCTGTAGCGCCCGTGCGCCATCATGCCGCCCGACGAGGTCAAGGTCCTCCGCATCTGGTTGCCGCAGGTCTGCGTAAGCGTCTGTGGCGCGCTGCTCGTGCACCCCGGCTACAGCGTCGCCTTTGCGCTTACGCTTGTGATCAACTGCATGGCTCTGCCGCTCTGGATGCGGCTCGGGCACTGGCAACGCAGCCGGCGCTGGGGCGCCATTGTCATCGACGTCATCGCGAGCTTTCTCCTCGGGGCTCGCTCGCCACGTGTATCTGGCCGGTACATGGCCATCACCTCAGGCGCCGACTTCGTCGTACACACGATATTGAACGCTGCCTTTTGGGCGGCGCTCCAGACGCTGGCAATCGCAGGTGCGACGACGACGCCTTGTCCTCATCGCTTTTTAGAGGATCAAGTTGATCGATTCGACTCGAGGTTGCTCACGCCACCAATCGAGACCGAAGTGGCCACGCACGCACTGGCTGCGGCTGCCGTACACCGTCTTCTCGATCGGACTCGGCATCCTGGGCCTTCAAGCCGGTCGTCGCATGGGCGACATGCGACGTTGGTTGCGAGCTGCAGTGTCAACGAAATCGGACATCGTTGTGCCGATCTATCTATCTATCTATCTATCTATCTATCTATCTATCTATCTATCTATCTATCTATCTATCTATCTATCTATCTATCTATCTATCTATCTATCTATCTATATATCTATCTATCTCAGACGGGGCGCGTCCCTGACGGGGTTGCAGTACTAGTACCTTGCAGCCAACCACCATCCGAAGACAAGATGTCAATGAATGAATGTGCTTGTGCAGGACATTATTAACGCTGATGGGTTTCCCAGCGCGGCGCTTCGTAGACCGGAATGCCTTTGGCTTTCGGCAGCGGCGAGCGGCCGAGGATGATGTCGGCGGCCTTCTCGGCCATCATGATCGTCGGCGCGTTGAGGTTGCCGCTCACAATGTTGGGCATGATCGAGGCGTCGACGACGCGCAGCTTCTCGAGTCCGTGCACGCGGCAGCTCGGGTCGACGACCGTCATCCGCGTGTCGGTGCCCATGCGGTTGGTGCACGACGGGTGGTACGCGCTCTCGGTATGGTTGCGGACCCACGCATCGATGGCTGCATGCTCGTTCGCGTCAAAGAGTCGGGTTGGCGACAGCGGTTCGCCGCGGAACGGATCCATGGCCTTTTGCTGGAAGAGTTCTTGCGTCAGTAGCACGGCGTTGCGGATGTCGACAACGTCTTCGCGCGTCGAGAGGTACCGCGGGTTGATGCGCAATGGCTGCCGTGGATCGCGCGACTGCAGCGTGAGCTCGCCGCGGCTCGTCGCTCGCATCGGGCTGCAGTGCGCCTGCATGGCATGGACAGGACCGGGTGTGAGCTGGCCCGTGAGCGCGCCGGGCAAAAAGTGGAATTGCAAGTCCGGCTGGCGTAGACCCGGGCGACTAGTCGTCATTACATACATGAGTCTATACCATCAGTTCGAGAGGAAACCTGCGAATAAAGCCTCCCGACTCGAGGTGCGCCGACGCGCCTTGCCCCGAGCTCTGGAAAAGCCACTCGAGCGCAATGCCGACCATATTGTGAGGGTACTTCCTAGACACAAGAGATTCCATGAATACTAGTTTGCAGGGAGGACGATAGCTTATACCACGAGGCGTTGTGCAGCGTAATAGGCTTGGTGCACTGGAACTGGACGTACATGTCCAAATGATCTTCCATGTGCTGGCCCACGGATGCAATGTCGGCCACGACCGGAATGTCGAGGGCGCGCAGGGCGTCGGCTGGCCCGATGCCTGAGAGAAGAAGCGTTTGCGGAGAGTTGATGGCGCCGCCACACAGAATGACCTAGTGGAGCGTCGCCATTAGCTTCATCAACCATGCGTTTAGCAGCTACCTCCTTCTCGGCCGTGTACGTGGAGAGGTTGCCGCTGGCGTCCGACACCTCGACGCCTTGCGCAGTCGTGCCATTCAAAAGCACGCGGTGGACGAGCGCTTCGGTAAGGATGTGCAGCGACGCTCGCTCGTGCACGATCGGGTGGAGGTACGCTGCGGACGCGCTCCAGCGGTTGCCCTTGTAGATCGTACTGTCCATCCAGCCAAAGCCTTCTTGCTGAAACCCGTTCATGTCGTCCGTGAACGGATACCCAGCGTTGACGCCGGCGTCAATGAAGGCCTTGAAGAGCACTTGGTCCTTCTGGGAGCCGCGGGTCACATGCAGCGGGCCGCTGCCACCGCGGTACGCATCCTCGCCGAGCTCGTGCGCTTGCGCCTTCTTGAAGTACGGCAGGCAGTCCTCGTACGACCACCCTGTCGCACCGCTGCGCGCCCAGTCGTCGTAGTCGTGGGCGTGGCCGCGAATGTACACCATGGCGTTGAGCGACGACGAGCCACCGAGGACGCGGCCGCGGGGCCACGCGAGTCGGCGGTTGTTGACGTGCTCTTGCGGCTCGGTCATGTACGCCCAGTTGTAGCGTGCGTCTGCAAGATTGAACGTCAACGCCGCCGGCATCTTCATCTTCCACGAGTCCCAATGGCCCTTGTCGCTCTTGCCAGCCTCGAGCAGCAGCACCGAGTGGTCCTTGGAGAGGCGGTTCGCAAGGACGCTGCCCGCCGAGCCGCCGCCGACGATGATGTACTCGGCGTGCGACGGCGCCGCCTTGGCTCGCCCCAGCCAGCGTGACAACATGCGGCGAAAATATCGAATGCCCACGGCTTGCCGATTGGACGGGCCGGTTATCCGGATGACTAAGATACCGCCCAACTTCAACTTGCCGATTCGAAGGCGCATCAGCTGGCTTCGCCCGTCGTCGTTGTGTGGTTGCGGAGACGCACCGGCAGAGGAGCGCCCTGCCCACAAACGCCCAAGCGAGCTCCTGGACAGGCCGCGCATCTTGCCATGACCATGTGGGCGCAGAGCATCGTCTTCTATGGGTCCAAGGGCTAGACCTCGTCGAGCGGGAAGACGTAGTCGACGCAGTCGCCGTCGTCGAACGCGCAAGCCGGTGTAAAGCACGGCAGGTTGCACTGGCCGTTGCCGATCTGATTTGGATGGCAGCCCACGTTGCACGCGCGGCCGCACAGGTCCTCGGCGCCCATCGCAACAATGTCGCGTTCAATCGGCGAGAGGGCCCACGACGCGTGGCGTGCGGCGTCGTACGTCAAAAGCCGGTTGCAAAAGGGTGTATCGCGGAGGTCCAAGCGCGCGGACAAGAAGAGCTCAAGGGACAAGTTGGCCGGCACGTGCTGGATCGGGTTGCCGCCCAAGTAGACATGGCGAAGCGTCGGTGGCAGTGCCGTGAACGGCAGCTCCGAGATCGAATTGTTGATCAGACTGAGGAGCGTGAGCTGCGGGAGCGAGAACAATGCGAGCGGCAGCTCACGCAGTGCATTGTTGTCCAGCACGACTTCGGTCAAAGTCGGCGCCAACGCCTCCAATGGCGCGTCCGTGAGGTTGAGGCCGACGAGGAAGAGCTGGCTGAGCTGCGGCCAGTGCCCGACCGACTTGTTTTGACCAAAACCCAAGTTGCGAAGAAACAGATACTGTAAATTCGGCCACGCATCTGCAATCGCGGTGGGCAGCGACGGCATGGCCATGTTGTAGAGGTAGACGGCAAAGAGCGACGGGGGCATCGCGTCGATCGGCACGTCCCACAAGACCGTCGCAGTCGCATCGAGCGCGAGGGCATAGACATTTTCCAAGCTCCGCATCGTGGTGGCGGCAAGGCCGTGGGGTAAATGGCACTGCAGAATGCTCAAATCAAATACGTGCTTGAGGTTCGCTGCGACGAATGCATCGACGTCGCCCACGTCGTGCTGCTTGCAGTTGAGCGTAAACATAATGCACGTGCACTCGAGTGCGAACCACGGGTACGTCTGCAGCTTGCACCCGCTGGGGCAGGGCGCGCGGTAGAGGCTCGTGCTGGCGACGCCAATGAGAACGGCGCTCGCTAAGAGCGCGACGAGCCAAAACACCTTGTTGCTGCGCTGGACGAGCCAGGTGCGCGTCTCGATGCGCGCGGAGATTTGAAGGCCGTGCTCGAGGCTCTTGCGATGCTGCACATAGTGTCTACACCGAATGTAGGCGGTTACCGTCTCGACGAAGAAGAGACAATATGTCCAATGTATATGTACCCTTTTGAAACGCGAATGCCGTGGTTCAGCGCGACGAGGGAAAAATAACTCGTCACGAAAAAGAAGCTCGACGCAAAGACATCCACGAGCGACGTCATGGCGACGAAGCGCCCAAGCAAGATGCTGCGGTTGAGCCAGATATGGTTTTGCGCCATGTCCTTGTTGCCGGCCAAGTAGTAGTCGTGGAGCGCAGGGTAGATGAGGCAGAGCGGAATGCCCGTGCTCAAGGTGAAATCAATCATGGCCTCGAATACCGCCGGTGTCCAGCGCCGCGCGTGTGCTGATGGGAGACGCAGTAGCGCGGGGAGGATGCTGCAGCGAAGCCCAAGCACGAACGTGCAAGCAAAGGCTAACGTTGGTGTCGTCAGAAGACGTGACATTTGGTACGCGCGGTAGATCTGCATTGGCAGCTGTAGCACGAGCTTGCACGCAAGGCGCACGCTGTAGAGCGGTCCGTAGAGCCCAAACGGCCCGTAGCGACCAAAGGCGAGGCGGTACCACCGGTGGTGCCAAATACAGCAGCCGCTGCGTTCGTGTCGGCGTTCGTGTCGGTGTTCGTGTGGCACCAGCACGAGCCCGATCCCGTGCAAGTGCAGGAGCCCGAGTGCCATGGAGACGCCGAACGAGAGCTGCCGGCTGTAGATGTTGAAGATACGCATCTCACTGGGCGGGAGCACCCAGTAGACAATGAGCATCGCCAGCAAGTAAAAGACCGAGAGCGCGTGGAGCAACGCGACACAGAGCAGCACAGACGCGCGCTGGAAGGAGTTAAAGAGGTACTCTGGCGGGTCGTACCGCCAGACCACATCGGCGGCTCGCGGACCCAGCGACGGCACCACAGCTACCATGCGTTGAGAGTGCACACCAAAAATGTCAAAAATAGACAGGCAGCCGTCGTTTCAACCATCTCGTTTGATAGTCGTTGAACGAGTGGTTCCTACCAGCGGTACCGTAAAAGAGGAGTTTCTGCCACTTGTTGTTGAAGTGAGTCTATTTAGATATAATTTACACTGGAATGGTGCAGCCAAGGTGGATAGCGGATCACACCAAGACGCTGCCTTCTTGACTTATCTCTGTATGGACGAGCATGCGGCCACGAAATCGATGCGATGAAAAACGTGGTCCCACCTGAAAGCACGGGTACAACAGACAGGGTATGCGAATGTAGCGGTTGCAAGCTGCAACCAGGGTGCAAGTTGCAACCACTGTCTTATTCTTGTACATTCGCATACACTGTTTGCAATGACTGCTGGCGTACACTGTTTTGTCCGCACTTTTCAGCTGCAATTGGCAACGGACACTTTTCTCGTGGGCTCCGACGGACGACGACCTCGTACGCCTGCGATACATTGGCATGGGGCACGGGCTGTGTCGACATGGATTAGCAGAAAGTCGCAAAAAATAAAACGCTACGTGTTGATCGAGACAGAGGGGAGCAGGCAACAATTACATCGTGTTCATCTTGAGGTCGAGCTTGAAGAAGGCGATGAGAAGCGCAAGGAAGGTGAGAATACCGCCGACAAGCACCGGAAGGGCGTAGCCCATGTCCGATTTCACAAGGAGACTCGAGAACGCAAAGTTAAGGAACTGGCCGAGGCAGTTGGCCGAGTTGAACGCGCCAGCAAACAACCCGAGGTTGTTCTCGGCTTCGTGCCCGACAATGTGCATGATCGTCGGGATCTGCAGCGTGTTGATCGTGTTCTGCGTGATGCCGCAGAGAATGACAATGATGATGTCGACCGGAATGTTCTTGCAAAAGGCCATGAGGATCAAGAGCACTTGCGGCAACGTGCCGTACGTGATGACGTTTTTGGCGCCAAACTTGCGCACAAGGTACGGGAGGACCGCGAGCCAGAGAAGACTGCCGCAGTTGTAGACGGTATCGGTCGTCCCGCTCGCGATCTGGACGCCGTCGTTAAAGTCGATCTGGCGCTGGTTGCACTCGTCGCCGCACTTGTCCGCGCCGGTCGAGATACCATTCTTGACGACGAGGCCAAAGAACTGGCCTTTCGCGCCGTTGTACGCCGTGTAGCCGTACTGCATGAGCACAAAGCAGATCGCGTAGACCGCGAGCGTGTACGGAAGCAGGCGGATACCGGTCCAGACCGCCACGAACGCCGCCTTGATCTCGGCGCCCTTCTGGCGCGCCACCACCGGCACGTACGGTGTCTCCTTGACAAAGACGACGACCGCCATCGTCGTCACGAGCATGATCACAATGAGCATCGTCATGAAGGGCTTGATCGTCTTGTGGGCGGCGCCAAAGAAGAGAATGTAGCCCGAGACCGCAAACGAGCCCGCGATCGAGTAGGCGCCGCCGATCGAGGCGGCCGTGACCTGGCGATCGCCGGCAAAGTCGGCCATGATGAGGTTCACGGGTACTTGGGTCAGGTTGCACGTAATGTCCATCCAAATGTAGCAGATCACCGTGAAGAACGTCGTCCACTTGCGGTCGATGAGGTCCTCCGTCTTTTCGGCGACGTACTTGTTGATCATGGTCGTGTTGGTGTCGCCAAGCGCCTCGCCAATGTCGACGGCGTGCATCATGACGAGCCAGCAGAGCGCGCTCGTGATCGCGCCCCAGAAGAGGTACGGGCGGCGGCGACCGTACTTGGAGGTGCTCGCATCCGAGAGGACACCGACCGTCGGCGCCACGAGGAGACCCGTCGTGGGACCGACGAGCTGGACGACCTGAACCCACGACGATGAGAGGAGGATCTGGAGGAGCGGGCCGAGGGCGGCCCACTGCGCAGCCCACGCCATGTTCATGGCCATCTTGGGCGCGCAGAGGATGAGCATGAATGGGATCGAGCAGCCTTCAAGAGGCTTGTCGACGGCGGGTTCATCATCGAAGCCCTTGTCGACGGGTGTGGCGACCGCTTCGTAGTCCTTGCCGTCTTCGAGACCCATGGCTGCTGGAGGTAGAGCAGAATGGAAAGTGAAGTCCAAGAACCCGGGCGTGGCTTGGTCTTGTGTGTGCTAGAAGAGCTTCGTTTCTTGAACGTTCAAGTTGAAGCTCGCGTGCGGTGACACGACATATCAAGCCCACTGCAGAGATGCTAGGACTGTAATATTCGACCGAAAGATAAACCAGCCACTGGAAAAGACACCCTTCCACTGTTTCCGACGCGCGGAACACGCCGAGTCCAACTCTTCCCAGCACAGGGATGTCCGCTTGGAACTTGTGCAGACGACGAGAGTGGACGCTTGTCCTACCTTGCATCCTCGTGCTCGAGGCGATCCGAACAAGGTCTTTGAGACGCTCCGTAGTGCAATTGCTCGCCAGTAGAAGACGGCGAATGTGATAACGTTGGCGCCAAGACAAGCCCGTGAGCGCCCATTGAAGTTGGTCGTCTCACCTGGCCGCATGGGTTCGGCCACCTTGAAGGTTGGTCGTCGGAATTAGGACTTTAAGGCACAAAGCTTATGCCTCTGGGTGCGGTAGCATCATCCGTTCGTCGTGGATTATGCTAGGCCACACCCGATAGGGCGACGTCGCAGTTCCCACCCCGTTCGTGCGCCGGCGTCTCAACAACGTAGCAGTACCCGGCAGCAAATCTTGAGCCGTCTAATCCACGAGGCAGCGAGGCTTCAATACCAGCGATCTGATATCCCAGGGACGTGGCTTCCTCCTTGCGTTCAACTCTTTCTCGTAGCGTGAACGCGGCACATGCCTCGGACAGGCCACACCATGCGGCGCAAGAGGTGCACTTTTCGGCCGCTGGCGGAAAACAGCTGGTTTGTACGGTGGACAGCGATGCTCTCTGTTCGTAGCACCTGGGAGAAACCATGACGTATCGACTTGCTTTTGACCTCTGACGTGATGTCTTCTGGCGTTATCAGTGCGGCGCGGAAGCTTGACGCAGCTACCTCGTGTTCAGCTCAAACACGCCGACGAGCCACACGGGTGGGGGCAACGTGCCACTCTCTCGCGGCTTCCCCTACGTCTTCAACACTGTCTCGAACGGATTCGCTGGTCGTTGGTGCGGCGGTTGCTTCTTGAAGGTAGTCCAACGCTCCGTGAAGGATGTGCTTGGAATAGAAACCCACGCACAATGGGTGCGCCGTTCTTTCTTGCTCGCCGCGCGTAGCCATTGCGCTGGTCGCAGCCACGAGGCGCAACGAGACCGGATGTTGAAGTCGCTGCCACAACCGGCATTGTCACCCGCGCCCGATCATTCTTTGCAAGGATCGCATGTCTCGGAATCAATGCTAGGGTGAGATAGGGTGCGCAAGGGTGGTGTCCGTGGATCGTCCTCTAGCTGATCCTCTGGGCCTGCTTTCTGCCCCTTTGTGCAGTTAGAGGTGTAAAATGAACGAATCCATACGTTCTCGTATCTCGAGTGACACCCCGCTCGGACGAAATCGGTGAGCTGCGGCGCCAATGGCGTTTCCATAACAACCGGTGGCGTTTCGCACTCGGTTATGATTGCCCCGGCGCCACTGGTCGCGCGCGCGCCATCGCCGGCGGCATCGAGCAAGTCATGGGTTCTCTATTGCGGCTACGTGCTACTGACGACACTGAGCAGTTGGTACTACCTCTTTCTCGTGCGCCCGAGTCTCGCCAACGACCTCTTGTGGCCCGGCTTTTCGACCACGGGATCCCAGACGTTCCTCGGGGACGTGTTTCAGCGCCTTCTGCAGCAGAGCAACGCAACGTCGAGCTCTCTCTTTGCTCCAACTTGGAGTGGGCGCAAATCGTACGACTCTGCGCCCACGTTTATCGACACGACGTTGTCCCTGTCGCGCGTCGTGCTGCAGTCGCCGCTGACGCTCGAGACGGCGCTGCCCGTCCTCCGCGCCACGCGCTTTGATTGGATGCTGCGCATGTACTCCCAGTACTGCTACGTCGACTTGGATCGAATGTATGCCGTCTCGACGACGTCGGCGCGCCAAGAACGGTGCGACACCAAGTACAAAAGCAACGCTGCTGTCTACTGGGAGCCGCTTTGGCGCAACGCCGTGCCTCGGGACGTGCTCGAAGGTGCGTACGCCGAGGCGCTCGATGTTGCGGTCTTTGCAGCGCTCAAAAACAATACCTGGTGGCAGTCGCTCTGGGTGCGCCCGCTCTTGGCGCCAATGGACGAAGTACGCTTGTGGCGATCGCGTGGGTTAACCTACTGGCAGACCCAAGTCAACAACTACTATGAAGTCGGGCTCACGGAGAACATCGAGGTCGTCAATGCTCTCGGCGTCGTCCAAGTCATGACGATCCACCAAGTGCCGAGACACTTTCGCGGCTTGGCGCTCTGGACGATGGGCAACTCGTACAACGGCATTTGGAACGATCTCTGGCAGTGCCAGGCCATCAACTGCAGCCTTGTTCGCGGGGCGAGCGCCGCGTCGGACGACGTCAAGCTGCACTGGGAAACCATCGAGTACGGTCTCACAAATGACACGCCACTGCAATGGGCCATTCGTTCGCACATGGGCCCCTTTGGCAGCATTGATATCACGCTCCTTGCCAAGCCGCCGCCGCTTATAGCGTGTATGGCCCAGTATACAACCACGTGGTATGGGCCCATCGCCCTAAACGCATCGCTCGCGACCTCTCTCGCAGCGTGGCCACGCCGACGCGTGGCGCTGCTTCCAACCTCGTGGCGGGCGCCAGGTCTCTCGTACTTTGGAGGCAACCCCATGTGTCTCGGCAATACGCCACAGCCCTTCGCGCAGGACCAACTGGGCTTTTACGACACGTGCACGGCACCGACACCGCTCGAGATGGTCTTGGACGCCGATGCAGTGCTGTTCGCCTATGTGATGTGTGGCCCTACGGTTGACGTGGATGCGATCTGCGGCCACTGCGACGGCGACGCGAGTCGCGCTACATGCCAAGCGGTGCTGCGCACAGTCGCGTCGTGGCTCGCCACCTCGGGGCTTCCCCCAGTGTTTGCCAATACCGCTGCGACAGACGACGCAATGCAGCGCCTCAACTTGACCCTGGTGCAGTTTGCGTGGAATGGGTCGGACGTAAGTTTCTTGACGCAGCCCTGGGTGCACGGCTCGTGGCACTTTTTTGGGTATCTCGCGGTGTACGATTGGATGCGTGGCGACCGGGAAGCTTACGCGTACGACAGTGACAATGGGGCGTTTGCTCTGTTGTCGCCGGCGGTATCGCCGACGCCGCTGGCCGCCAACCCCCTCGAGCTGCCACAACACGTGTCGCTGTACGTCTGGTACGTCCTCTTGTACTCGACGAGCGTCCTGTCAGGCCTCGCCCTCTGGGTGCTACTGGCAGCATCGAGATCCAAGCTGCCGCGCCAATTGCTGCACATTAACCGCGTGGCCGGTCTCGTCTGGATCGGCCGCCCGATCCTGCTTCTGCGCAGCGCCACGGCGCTCGCGATCTTAAGCACGTCGCCGATGCAGTTTGAAACACGAGCTGGCGTCTCCCGCTTTGTCTTTGCTCCGCGCTCGGTCCTCGAGACAATGGTCTTGTCGGGCGAGGCGACGTGGGCCACGTACGTGCTCGTCGATGTGCTTTTACCGTTGACAAAGCGGGCCGCGCCGATGTATGCACCCCTCAGCAGCCTCGTTGCGTGGCTGCTCGTCGTGCTTTGGGATGTCTTTGCTCCGTTTCAAGCAACTCTACACGTTGCTCAAACCTGCTCGATCCTCGAGCTCGGCTTGTCTGCCACATGTACGGGCGGTCGCATCGAGGTCGGAAGTGCGGCGCGGTTCTATGGCCTTTTGACCGCTAATCTTCTCTCCGTGCTCTTGCCGGCGCTTTGGATGTACAATGCCAATATCGACGAACATAGGACCGAGCCTGGTCCGCTTGTGGCGGCGTCGGTCGATGCCTTCTTCCACAGCGCCGCCGGGCACTTGGATCCTGCAGGCGCCATTATGTCGGGGCTGCTACCGCTTCGGCGTGGCTTTGTGGACATGAGTCTCTGGCTCCGCGTCGGCCTTCGCGTCGGGCCACGCCTGCAGACCAAGATAACGACCCGGCCTTTGCCACCGGTGGCGCCACGCCGCCTCGTGCTCAAAGCCAGTGCTGGGTTTCTATACGTTGTGTTTTCCGTCGTCGGGAGCTACAGCTATGTTTACGTCTCGGAGACGGCACTCGCCAACGATCTCTGGTGGGCGGGCTTCAACGCAACGGGCCACCAGACGCTGCTCGCCAACTGGTTTCTCCAGCAGCTTCAAGTGACTACGTCGCTCTATGACATTGACCTCACGGCTCGTCGGTACCGCGACAATGCCAACCGATACAACCTCTCCGATACGAACACGGTCGTCTCGAACCTCTATGCCAGCATGCTCCAGAGCGAAGTCAGCACGCTTCCCGCCATCGTGCGTGGCCTTCGGCGTATGGAGAGCGGTGATGTGCCGTGGATCGCCACAAGCTATTGCTTTCTCGACCTCAACCGATCGTGGTCCATGGCCATCTCGTCGGCGCGCCAGGCGCAGTGCAATGCGTCGAATGGCGCCGTCTACTTGGAGCCCATATTGCGCAACGTGGCCTTCTCGCATGCGTGGTGGTACCCTGGCTTTGCGATCGGAATCGAAGCGCATCTCTTGACGAGCGCGTCGGGACGTGCCTGGCTCGCGACGCTAGCGGCGCCACGTCTCGATATCGACGGCGAAGTCGCTCATTGGCGCACGCACGGCCTCCAACGGTATGAGACGCAGTGGCAAAACTACAAGCGTCTCGGTGTCGTCGAGTCGTTTTCAATTGCAACGGCCTTGAACACGCGATATGCGATCTCCCTGCGCGCGTCAAACGCATCCCTCCACAGTGCGATGCAAACGTCCTTTAAGATGCAGTGGCCGCTCGCGAGCTACTTTTGGGCTGTCACCGCCAACGCCTCGGGGATGGGTGGGTCGAGTCTCTTGCGAGAGAGTCCTTTCTTTGCCTTTGGTAACGCGACAACCATCGCATCCGTGCTCGCACGCAACCAGACGCTGCGCATGCCGCTTGATCCCGCGATGGCGGCCTTGGAAGCCGCCGTCGGACCCTTTGGCACCATCGAGATGCGCCGAGTGGCGTTTCCAATCGTGCTGCGAACGTGGTACGCAGAGCTACGCGCGGCCATCGTCGCCGGCCTCGCCGGCGGTGAAGCGACTGCAGCGTTTGCCCAGATTTCACCCTCGGTCACGCTCTTCCCGACACCGACCGAGTGGGCGATGCTGGCGTCTGTCGGCGGCGACCTCACGTGCCCGGGCCAGGGCGCCCCCGTGACGTTTGTGCTGCAGTTTTTTTCCAACACGGGGGCTTGCTCGAGCAACAATCAAGACTCGGTTGTGATCGATGCCATCGGTGCGACCCAGTCGCTGGTCTCGACGAACGCACTCAGTGCTACGGTAGCGTGCGGCCATATGTGGGGATCGTCGGCTGCCTGCGAGAGCCTCCTGGCCTCTACGCAGCAGCTACTGCAAGCGCTCCTCCTGCCAAACCACGAGGCGCTCATCGCTGCGGTGCGCGATGACGACACGCTGCAGCAGCTGCGCCTTGTCCAGTACATGCAAGCGGCCAACGGCTCGATACAGCTCATGCAGTCGCCGCTTTTCCCATTGACCGACCCTTCCTTTCACGTGTTTGGGTACATGTACCTTCTCGAGTGGCTGCGCGGCGTGCGCGAGGTCGTGTCATTTGAAAGCAACTATGGTCGAGTTGTCACCCTCTCGGCCCGTAATCCCGTGCTTGTCGGGCCCGTCAACGCCCTCGAAGTGCCGACCAACGTCGCCACGTACACGCGGTACGTTCTGCTCTACGTCACCGGCGTCCTCATGCTTGTGGCGCTTCTCACCGGCGGGCATGTGCTCTGGAGCCGCGGCTGCGTCCACGGCTACAACCTCTTTGCCATCAACCGCGTCACTGGTCTTGTCTGGATCGGCCGGCCGCTGCTTCTTTTGCGTGGCGTCTCGGCGCTCTGCCTGCTCTCGACGGCCCGTCTCGACATTCGGAAAGACGACTCTGGTTTCTACTTGTTTCACGCGACGCAGCCGAGCTGGCCCGCGACGATTATGGCCGGCGGCGAAGCCACGTGGGTCGTCTTCCTCCTCAACGATGTGGCGTCGCTCTACACGCGCGAGTACACGCCATTGTACGCGGGACGAAGCAGCCTCGCGGTGTGGGCAAGTGTAGCGCTTTGGAGCCTTCTTACGCCCGTGACCCCTACCGCAGCGATCGACCGGCGCTGCGACATTCCCGCCGTCGACGCGCAGCTCGTGTGCGAAAGCGGTGTCGTCGCCATTGGCAGCGCGACGCGGTTGCTGGCGCTGTTGGGCGCCACCAATGGAATCGTGCTCGGCACGTTCCTGCTCCAGCGCGTGCGGTGCCGCCAAGTGCCACCGCCGTCGATCCATTCGCATTTACTCTACGCATCGGCCCACTACCACTTCAACTCGACCCATTGGCTCGAAGACGACGTCTACTACCTCGACTCGGCTTCGGCCACGATCGCTGGGCTCTTGAGTCTGCGCTGGCGCCACTCGCTCTATGTGCTCGACATCAAAAAGTGGCGCCTCCACGTGCTCGCGCCACCCTCGTGCACCGACCACCGCGCCCGTGCACTGCCATTGCCGCTTGCCGCCACCTAGTGTGGCCGCAGAAATCGATCTGATTTCTCATTTCCTTTTGATTTGGTTGTCTTCTTTACCCCAACTCTGACCATCGAACTCTAAAAACGTGTCTCACGTCATCATGAACTGTGCAAAGGCTTGGCATACACAGAGACTAGCAATCATCTCCTTCACTCGCTCACTTGGACGTGGTTGCGCGGAGACTTGTTCTGCTCCTCTGCAATTGCCCGTCCGCACTTGCGGTCACGAGAGAGACGCATAACGACGCGCTCTGTTCCGTACTTTAAGGCGTCGCGATCGGGGCTACTTTCGTACGCAGTTTTTGGAGCCAAGCCGATGGCGAAGGCTGCGTCAAGGACCGGCGCGCAGGACCACCGGTATCGTGAGCGAGTGGCACAATGTCCACCACAGCACGATGCTGTCGATCGGTTTTTCAAACAAACTTGAAAAAGAAGCAGACGACAGCATTGTCGGAGGAAGGGTTAGGGAATCTACATGAAGGAAAAAGCCGACTTTTCGCCGCTCGGCGTCGCCGCTTGCTGCGCGCGCGGAGAGTTGGCGAGGGTAAAGAGGTCCTTCCCAAAGTCACTCAGCGACCGGGTCGCGTCCGGCGGCAGCGTGGCCATCAACGGCGGCACGACGCCCGGCGCCGGCGTCGGTTGCATCGGCGGCGAAAAGCTCAAGAGGTTCTACACCGGCGGCGTCAGCATTGAACCATCACACGCATCTACACACCTGTGTCACCATCGGTGGCGGCGTCGCAGCGACCGGCGGTAGTTGGACTGGCGATTGCACTGGCGCGGCCTCCACCGAGAGGCCGCCCATGCCAAGTCCGAGAATGTCGACTTCGGCCGATGCGCGTGGCGCGCGCGCCGGTGACGGCTTGGGTGCGGCGGCCGGGAGGTCCCCGACGTCAATGCCAAGCAGCGTGAGCACCTGCTTGGCCTTGATGGCGACATGAGACTTGCGATCTTGCGTGAGCTACATACGACCGTTCGCAATACAACACGAAAGAGATGACACAAGCATACGTGCTGGACGAGCTCGAGGTTTTCTTCGAGCCAGTCGCCGTAGTGGGAGCAGCCGGGCGCATCGAGCAGTGCTTCCCAGACGCAGAGGCCCTTGAGGCGCACCATCCACGAGTTGTCTTCAAGCTTATCGAGGAGGAGCTCGCCGATCGTATGGATATCAAGCGTCTTGGCCAAGTCGACAAATCGCTTGAGGTTCTCCGACGGCGGCGCACGCGCGAGACCGCCCGGCGGGCACAAGTCGTCAATCAGCGTGCGTTCATAGTCCCTAGCACCATCACCATTAGCACCCTGCTTGCTTTGGGAATCGAAAGTACCCGCTCTTGTCCGAGCTGCCCATGGTTACGCCCGGGTTGTACGCTGCGCCGCGGTCCATCGCGCGAATGTCCGTCTGCACGTAATCGTCGTGCTCGGCCAACGACGACGCCATGTCCTTATCCATGTTGCGCCGATCCCACATGTCTCTACGCGTGTGAGATGCAGTTATAAGGAGACACAAGAGCCATTGAGATTGTGGTCGTACATGACACCCATGCCCTTCTTCTTGATGACATCGAGCTTTTGGCTAAACGCGGTCGACGGCTTGTCTTGAACCGGGAGACTCGACGTCGGAAGGCGCGGACCAGACGAGGCAAACGGCGCGGGTGGCGCACTCATGCCACCGACGCCCATACCGACGCCGATACCCGAGAGACCGCTGCCCTGCATCATCGGGTTGCCGACCGGCGGCACTGACCGCGTCGGACCAAACATGGAGCTTTTGGTGCCGACAAGCACGGTCGGACGGTTGTCCCGGGCGCTGCTCCACCGGATGTTGTTGGGATCTACGACGTAATTGGTGATACAGGACGAGGAGACGGAGGGTGCCGTACCGTTGGCCTGCGACTCTCGCCGTTCAAAGCCACCTTTGCCCCAGACGCCAGACGCGTTACCCGAGACCGACGCCGCGCCGTCGCCAATCGAACTCGACGTGCTGGAACGATGGCCGTACGCCGGTGGAGTCGGCTGACCGTACTGGGGCGGTGTCGGCTGACCATACTGGGGCGGTGTCGGCTGACCGTACGTCGGTGCAGTCGGCTGGCCGTATTGCGGTACAGTAGGGGCGCTCGAGTTCGAGCCGCCCCACGTCGTGGTGGACGCGCCGCCGCCAAAGGACGGTCGTTGTTGCGCCGGTGCAGCGCCATTGCTGCCCCACGTCTGCTGCCCCGAGGACGGGTAGGGTTCCCGGTACGGGCTCGCGCCTTGGTTCGCGTCTCGGTACGGCGCCGGGCGTTGGTCGTACTGTCCTGGCGCTTGATTCCCATACGGCGCTGGCTGACCTGGTGTCGGGTACTGGTTGCTGTTGCTGTTGTTGTTGCCCCAGACAGGCGCGGCTCGTTGCTGACCGTAGCCCTGCGGCGGACCGCCGCCATACCCTCCGTGCTGCGACGATCGGTTGGCTCCGTAGCCTGGCTGCGGGCTCTGCGTCATTGAGCTGCCACTCGGAGCCGCGCCGCCATTCAAGAACGTGAGGATCTCCTGCATGTGCCTGTTCAGACCTCGCTCCACCAGGCAAAACGCTGTACCTGGGCGGCCGTTCGAATGCGGCGAGTCTTTTCGTCGCCAATGGATGGATCCAAAGGGCCATCTACACGAGGACGCAATGATATTGCATTGCTTGTTGTCGAGACGTACTCGCAAGCTGCTGAATGTCTTCTTCGTCCTCGCGGACGACGTTGATAAAGCCTTGGTTGTTGCACTTGAGGCAGTGCTAGCCATGCCGTGAGCCTCGATGAACGACACCAAGGCCACGTACGTTAATGATCTGCAGGGCCTTGAGGCGCACGTTCACGTTGCTCTTGTTCATGCGGCCGAGCAGAAAATCGGCCACCTTCTCGCCCGAGCCGTCGTTGGCGCTCACTTGGCCTACACAGGCAACGTGGGAGCGGGCAGCCATGGACGCGGAGGCGTACCAGCGATCTGGTCGAGGAGGTACGCGGGCACGGGGCCCTCATGAATGCTCGTCGCCTCCGAGAGCACTTCGCGACTTGCCATGCTGCTGCCGTCTTCACAGAAAATCAACAAATCGAACCGCGAAAGATTCGGCTTTTGGCCGAATTTCGTACCCATACCCGAATTTCGTACAATGACGTACAATGACGTACTACATACATGCATATCCAAAGCATGCTTAGACGTACATTAATGTACGTACCCCATGTCGAGACATAGGCTGCGCACCTCACACATTGTAATCAGGACCTGACGCCCGAAAGCAGTAAAAACAGGACATTTCAAGGCGGCATTCGACGTTTATTTTCGGCACCACGTGACCACAAGGCGCGACTGCGGTCATCACCAACACCCATCTGCAACGTCTCTTCGTCTCGGTGATGAACTCCACTTGCTCGTCCATACAGGGTCGGCTTGGCCGGCTGTCTGTTTCTGCGCCACCTGATGGCACGGTTCGTCTATTTTCGGCACACATGCCACCTTTTATTTGAATGCCACCTCGAGCCACTTTGCAGTTGAACCCAACCGAAGAAGCGATGGACCCGACGGCGTACGTCCGTGAAAGCACCGCCCGGTACGTGCTGACGCGCCGGCGTGCGATGGCTCATGGCTGCAACCAGCGTTGTTGCCGAGGCCGAGCACGTCAAGATTAGCCCTGCTGGCATCGCGGCCTTGACCGAAAAGTTGGTGCGACGACGTCGCTGCCTCGTCGCGCGCTCATGGCCTCGTAGGAAGCCGTGTACCTCGGGCAGAAGGACGCGATCCACGATCAGATCGCGTGGGACTTTGGCGACGTCCACTACTTTGAAGATGCTGCCAACGACGGGCCGCTCACGTGCCAATACGTCTTTGTGTTAGACGCGCTCAACTTTTGCTTTTGGCCGACGCCCGAGTACGACATGGTGGCGCAGATGGATGATGCTGACGATATACTACGCTGTAGCATGGAGTACGAGCACTTGGCGCGGGGCCTCAAGCAGGCGCTGACGGCCGATGCCACGATCTTCGACGCGGACCGGCTCGCGACCGTCGACGCGACGACCGTCGCCTCGTGGTTTGCGCCGTTTTCGCCGCCGCAGCTCGACGAGCGCGTACGACGTCTTGCTACCGTCGCCCACAATGGAGTTCTCAAGCTTGCGTAGGTGCGCAAGGTCCGCGAACTCGGTGCAGGCCTCGCGCGCTTCTTCGATGGCAAGGCCATCAACCTCATTCGGCAAGCGCAGTACTCGGCCGTCGAAGTGCTTCGCCTCGTTTTGGCGCACTTTCCGGGTACGTTCTGGCTTGCCGCCAGGACGCTCATGCGGCGCAGGCTTCCAGGACCACGCCGTCTACAAGGGCAACCAGGTGTTTTTGTATAAGCGCGTGCAGATCCTCGTCGGCGACGTCTGGGCCGCGTACGGCCGCCGCGTCGTCGTTCCGAACGACCCGTCGACGCACTCCATTTGCGGCTTTTACGACATTGACCGCCTGACCATGTTTGGTACCGTCCATGCCTCGATCTTATGGAGCTCGAAACGTGAACGTAGCCGACTACCGCGTGCCCCAAGTGCTCCGCCCGGAAGGCGTCTTGGAGTACACGCCGGCGCTCGAAGCCATGATTCAGGCCAAGCAGCAAATCCCCTTTGGCTCGCACGTACGCCCTCATATCTGCTTTCCAGCACTTATTGCTCGCGTAGATGGAAATCGAGATCCGCGCGTGCACGATCCAGGCGGTCGAGATGCTCCATGCAGCGCTCGTTGGGAAAGGCCACCGCATCAAGGTCATTGAGCTCGACTGGCTTCTCTGGCAGATTGGCGAGAACGCCAAGGAGGCGCTGCCCTTCCACCACCGCACGCTCAGCGTGTTTTACTGAGCGTACGCCAACCGCAACGTTTATGTTAACGATCCAATTGCAAACAGAGAAGAGAAGTTGGTTACCCGAATCCTAGTAGATGTGACAAACTGCGTCGACATTGGTAGGCGAACAAAGTATATGTCCTAGGCGAGCTGGATGTTCTCGCCCGCGACGGCGTCCGTGGCTGCGTACAAAGCCTCGATCGTTGCCTTGTAAGCGAGCTTGACATCGTTGCGCCGGACCTTGAACGTCGGCGTGAGAAGCTTGTTCTCGACGGTAAAGACGTCGGTGGTCAAGTGCACGGCGCGGACCGTCTCGAAACCGAGGAGCCCGTGCTCCTTGCTCACACGCGCGATATCGGCCGTCACGTGCTCGACGATGCTTGGGTGCGTGCAGGCCACTGCACTCTCGAGGCCGAGCGTCGATGCGAGCGCGGCGACTTGGGGCTCATCGATGACGACGATAGCGACAAGCACGGCGTGGAGCGAGTCGCCATAGACAAACGATTGGTTGACAAAGGCGCAGTTCTTGAGAACGTTCTCGACCTTCTCGGGGGCGACGTACTCGCCCTGCGAGAGCTTGAAGATGTTTTCTTGCGGTCGACAATCTTGAGCCGGCCGTCCAAAGTCCAGACGCCAATGTCGCCCGAGTGCAGCCAGCCATCGGCGTCGATCGCCTCCTTGGTCAATGCGGGGTTCTTGAAGTATCCCTGAAAGACGCTCGGACCACGCATGCAGATCTCGCCACGACCTGCGACGGCCAAGCTGCCATGCACCGTGTCGGTCACCAAGTAGCCCATATCGGGCACCGATACGAGCTTGACGTTGCACGAGTGAAGCGGCGGCCCCACGAAACCCGCGTCGAGTTCGCGGTGGTCGGTGATATTGGAGGCGCCCGAGACCTCGGTTTGCCCGTAAATTTCGTGGCACGTGACACCCAAGAGCACGCGAAAGAAGGTAAGGACATGCGCCGAGATGGGCGCCGCGCCCGTGAGCATGAGTTCGCACCGATCCAAGCCCAGCGTCGCCTTGATCTACATCGAGATACGACATTCGTGGCCCATGGTGCTTAACCCAGCGAGTGTACCTTGTTGAAGACGAGCTTGTCGTAGACAAGATGCGTGCTGTAGCCGCGACGTAGGTTCGCACGCTTGCTCGCCAGTGCCGTTTGAAAGAGGGTCGTCTTGAGGCCCCCCGCGCTGTTGCCAGCGGCCATGACACTATCGTAGATGCGATTGAGAAGCCGGGGCACGCTTAGAAACAGCGTCGGTCGCAGCGTCCGGAGGTCGTCGAGGATCGACGCCGCGCTGCCTTGGTAAAACCCAATCGAGCCCGCGTAGCGCAGCAGGAAAATGTGCAGCTGCTGCTCGGCGACATGCGCCAGCGGAAGGTACGAGAGCAGCGTCGGGTGCCCTTGGAGCATTGTGTCGACAGCGCCGTGGTTGATGCGTTCGTCGAGACCGAACGTGAGCGAGAGGAGGTTGCCATGCGTCATCATGGCGCCCTTGGGATCGCCCGTCGTGCCGCTGGTGTACATGATGATGCACAAATCGCTCGCTGTGAGCGGGTGCGGCGCCGACACGCCGTGATTTCGCCCGTTTGCTTCCACCTCAAGCAGCGTCGTCGCGCGCCACCCGTGGCGTTCGCACTCGGCAGCGATCGCAAGGGGCACAACCGGGACGTCGCAAAGCACGATGTGCCGCAAGTGCGTCGTATCGCCTGCTTTGGAGACGAGCGATGGCCACTCGGAGGTCGTGAGGAGCACCGTGGGGGCCTCGGTCTGGTTGAGGATGAAGGCCGTTGACGTCGCGCCGAGCGTGTCGTAAAGAGGCACGATCGCGGCGCCCGCGTAAAAAGCCGCGTACTGGCCGAGGCTCCACTCGGGTCGGTTCTTCATGTAAATGCTCACGAGCTTGTGGCCATCGGTCGTCGGGTCGACCATGTTGTCGTGAAGGAGGCCCGATGCAATGTGCTGGATGCGTGCATAGCACTAGAAATCCGAATTGATACACAATGCGGTGAGAAGGAGGGAGGTACCTCGGCATACGTCTGCCACACGAATGGACCGGCCTCGCCACTGGCCGCGTCAATGGGTCGGTGGCCAAGGAAGTCACGATTTGGGTGCCTTGACACGGCCTTTTGGAGCATTTCAATCTGAGTGGCCGACTCGAGTGTCGGAAAGGTGTCCTTGCAGCGGTAGATCGGTCCGTCCTCGGCCGTCGCCGTCGAGGCGTCGGGCGTTGCGTACGTGGTCGGTGCGCGCAGCGGCGCGGCAGAGTGCTGGGTGTAGAGCAGGTAGCTCCCAACGCCAACGGCAATCGCGCTCGGCACCGCCAGCGACAGGGGCAGCAGCGAGCTCACGCTCGTTGACGCATTTACCATGGTGAAGGCGCGTTGTCAAATGGCACTCGACAGGCGGCGGCAAATCACCAGAATCAAAAACAGCTGTTTTGTGTCGCCTGTTTTTGTCGGGAGATCGCGTCGGATGCCAAAGGTGTCGATACGACGCTTTGCTGAAGCTACCGTGCAGTATTTACCAGTATATCACCACGAGTTATATAAGACGTTATGTTCCATAGTCTGCCAATGCATCACACTCATAATGTGGCAAGTTGCGTGATATTCATGTCGAGGCCTCCAGGTTGGATGGATTCACGCCTCTCGAGTCCAGAGGTCGCACTCGAATAAGGCGGATGTGGGTGATAAGACGCAGCCATGACGAAGGAACGGGACCGCAGTAATCGTGGCGGTGAGCGCATGGGTGATCCTCCAACAGACTCTTTTCTGCATACAGAGCAGAGCGGCAGCTCATGGCCAAGACATTGCCGTCGATGTAATATGAGCCATCCAGACCCATCCAGATACGAGACGATGGCTGTCTATGCGCTTGTGCTTGTGAAGGGAACGAGTTGCAGATGTGTGACCCTCTCGCGTGTGGCGTCACCAGTAGCAAGCCAACGGACACGACCAGTCCACTGAGGTTGGCTCTTTTCTGTCCGTACAATAAAACAGCCACGTCGTGAGTGTCATGAGTCCACGCCCTTGTCCTTCCGATCGACCAGCATACGACAACATATTTCAATGCATCATTTCGTCTACATGGACGATCTTTGGTCTTCATTCATTGGCCAAGCGCGTGGATATCCTCGCATTTGATTGGCGGGGCCTGCAGATACTGTCCACGGTTGCTAGTTCATCTCGAGCAAATCCCGGGTATCTGCACGGAACACAAAACGACAGTAAAAATTGTACTATGGTGCACTGGTCTAATCTGCCCCCAAACAGACAGCCCTTCATGACACCAGAAACAGTAATAGCACAGGCTTCAACATCTTTGTCCCCATCCCTCCAAAAGCGGGTCGTCGGCTTTGGACGTTTTCCCATCCGACATCTCGTACGCATCGTCGACAAGAACTGTCACGAGCGACGGCGACGGCGGCGCAATCGAAACGGGGAAGCCGATCCAGACGTTGCCGCCCGAGAGCCGCTCGCCCTTCATGACGACACTATTGCACGCGAGCGTCGTGTCGTCGCCGATGGACGAGTCGGGGAAGAGCGTCGAGAACATGCGCATGGTCGACCGATGGCCGAGCGTCGTGCGGCCGATCTTCATGACGCGGTCTTCAAACAAGTGGGTCTGCGGAAAGCTGCTCTCGTTCATCGCGACATCGTCGCCAACGACGAGCATGTCAAATTCGGGAATGTCGATCGAGCCCATAAAGCAGCGCGCGCCAATGGTTGCACCGAACGCGCGGTAGATCCATGGCAGGAACGGCGTTCCGACGAGCGGCAAAAGCACAAACACACTGAGATGCTCGAGGACGCCCGTGATGAACTCGGTCGACCAGACGCCAAAGCTGTACATGGGGAGAAGCGTCGATTGATACCGGCCAATGACGCCCCACTTGAGAGCTAGCACGATGGTCAAGCCCGGCAGCACGATGCAGCCAATGTAGTAAAACGGCGAGGCCACAAGAAGGCAGAGCACATTGGCCGCCACGTCCAGCGACTCACCATCGTCAGTGTAGAGAGGATACTGCTGCAGCAAGAGCTGCGTCGACGAGCCAATACCTAGACAGACGAGCGCCGGCGGGAACCACACCCGGAGCGTCTCGACAACGAGGCGGCCAAGGCGGCGCGTCAGCGACGGGTGGTACAAGAGCGTCGCATCAAACACATCAGTCGTCGTGCGGGACGGCATGAGGATCGGCGGAAGCCCAAAGCAGCTCTGGCCGGCTTGGAGCGTAGGCAGCGGCAGCGAGAAGGCGCCAACGAGCGAGTCGGAGGGTAGACTCGAGCCTTGGGGAACGACCGCGTCGTTGCCAACAAACGCTCGGTCGTGCACGATCGTCGCGGCCAGCGTCATCGTATAACCGCGTGTCTCGTCGTCGCCGAGGAGAACGTTGTCGGCGATGAAGCACTCGCGGCCAAGGTGCACGAGGTCTGGGTTCATGCGGCGCGCAGTCGAAATCTCTGTCCGCGCGCCGACAGTCGCGCCAAGCAGCCGCAAGAGCAGCGACGAGTAGACGGTCGCATAGAGCGTGTGGATCGTATCGAGCGAGAGGTCCATGAGGCCATCGACAAACCACCTGCGAACGCCAAACCACGAGTACGTGTGGTACGTGCCGGGACGCACCTTGCCGAGAAGCAGCCACTTGGTCGCGACCAAGAGCGTGGTCACGGTCACAACATACCCGACACCGACGAGCCCCGCGAGCCTGAGCATCTGCGCTGCGATTGGCGTCGAGTCGGGAAAGAGGGGGACGTTGAAGAGGTACAAAACTGGCGCCAATGGCAGCGTGTTCATGGCGGGCAAGAGAAAAGCAAACGCAAACAAATGCGCGCTGCGCACCGCCAGAGACCGAACCGGCGATGGGATGTCCGAGAGCGTCCAGTCGGCGGCGGCTCCGACCACGGTCGCGGGCGATCCAGCGACGACCTGCCGCGCCGGCACGACCATCCCCGTGACGACGCCGGCCATGCTCTCGACGACCGCACCGTCTTCGACGAGCACGTTGGCTTCAAGGGTTACGGAGGTACCGATGACGGTGTTGGCGCCGATACGAATGGGCCCGAGGTGCAAGACGCCATTGTCGACGTACTCGGCGCTCAAGAGCACCTGCTTGCCAAGCGTTGCGTGGTCACCAATGTGGAGCAAGTCGCACGCAACGAGGTTGACCACATCGAGATGCACGTGCTGGCCAATGTGCGCGCCAAGACAGCGGTACCAGAGCGCGAGCCAGTATGTGTCGCCAAGGAGCCGGAGGTCCGCGAGCTTGAGGAGGCGGCTTACAAACCACCAGCGCACATAGAAGGTGCCCCACAATGGGTAAGTGCCAGGTGCGACGCGGCCCAGCAGCGTCCACTTGGCCACAAAGACCGAGAGCAGGACGATCCACGGCGCGAGGGCGTACGCTGCGTAGAGGCTCAGCATCGAGACACCAAAGCGCTGTGTCGTGTCGAAGTAGTAGTCGGATACGACAAACGGCAGCAAGATCGTCAGCGCATAAAAGAAGTAGAGCACGAGCAAGAGCGGCAGCTGCGCGAGGCCGCAGAGCACGTGGCGCCACGCCGGCACGACGCGAAAGGCGGGGCGGTCCGAGACAACGTCGGCCACCGCGCTCGTCATTGGGTACTTAGCCGCGATCGCCTCGGGCGTCCGCAGCGTGTAGAGGTCGACGAGGCCGACAGACGCAAGCGGGTTGAGTAGCAGCGACGGATGGCTGCCTCGGAGTGCACTCACGAGCTGCGCGACGAGCATCGAGTGAGCGCCGAGGTCCGTAAAGAGATCCGAGGCCGCGTCGACGGCGACATCGGGAAAGGCAGCGCGCCACACGTGCAGCACAAACTCGAGCGACGTAGAAAAGGAACCCGTGGACGCAGGGGCCGTATCGGTCTCGCGGCGTTGGCGCGACAGCACTTGAAGCTGCTTCTTGTCAATTTTGCCGCTGAGCAGCCGCGGCATCTCGGCGGGTTGGAGCGACACAATTACGTCGGGAATCATGTAGGCCATGAGCGACGTACGACTGCTCAAGCGCGATCGAAGGCTGCTCACACAGCTGGCATCGCGCAAGACCACGTACGCTTCCAAGCGCTGCGGCTCATCTTTGGTCAGAATCGCGGCGGCCGCGACGACGCCGTCGAGTCCGCTCAGCTTGTCTTCAATTTCGCCGAGCTCGATGCGATAGCCGCGGTATTTCACCTGCGTGTCGATGCGACCGAGAAACACAATGTCGCCGGCGCCGTTGATCGTGACGAGGTCGCCCGTCCGGTACAATCGCGCGTTGGGGTCCAGTGGGTGCGCAATGAACTTTTCCTGCGTGAGCTCGGGCAGACCGACGTAGCCGTCGCCAACGCACGGCCCGCCGATCGCGAGCTCACCGGTGGCGCCTTCAATGAGCGCGAGCAGCTCGAGCGTTGGCGCGTCCTCCAAATGGTTTTCTTCTGGAAGCGCAAGCAAGGCTGCGTGGTACCCCGGGAGCGGCTTGCCAATGGTGACGACCTGGTGCGGCACCAGTGGTGTGTACGTGCACGTGACGGTCGTCTCCGTCGGACCGTACGTGTTGAAGATTTTGAGGCCCTTTCGGTGGAGCTTGGTCACAAGAGAGGCAGGACATGCTTCGCCACCCACATTCTACGCACCGATATATCAACCATCTGCGTGCGAGAGAAGGGGCGTACGACGAGGCGAACGAGCGGTGGCAGCGACGCTTCGCTGCATACCATCGCCATGAGCGTTGGTACAGCCGTGATGACGCTGACGCGGCGCCGGTCCCAAACGTCGACGAGGCGACCAATGTCCTACACAAGGAAACGCTCTGTCTAGAAAGGGCACACCAACGTGAAAATGGCACCTTCCACTGGCCGGGAAGAGCGATCGCGAGCTCGCAGCCGCGCGCAAAGGCGCACCACGTCTCCTCGACCCACATGTCGAAAGCGGGCGAGAACCCGTTCCAGACAATATCGTGTGCGTGCAGGCCGAGCACCGACGACTCCGAGTAGGCAAAGAGCGTTGCGGCCCGGTGCGAGATGGAAATACCTTTTGGTGTGCCCGTTGTGCCGCTGGTGTAGATAAAGTACGCTGGCGTCGATGGCGTCGGCGGGTGCGGCAGCGCTGACATCGGCGCACGTGTTGCTTGCGTCGCCAACTCAGAGTAGCGCAGGCACACGCACGACGCCGGAATGTCCACTGGCGACACCATGGCCGCGTGGCGATCGTCCATGAGAAGGACGGCCGCCTTTGCGTTCTCAAGACACAGTCGTACGCGCTCGACGGGCGCGTCTGGGTCGAACGGGAGCCACGTGGCGCCCGCGAAGGTCGTTGCGAGGATGGCGAGCGTGAGCTCGAGGCTCTTGTCGAGCCAGACGCCAACAACAAACGGCGACGCGCAGTGGTAGCCGTCGAGCACGTGGGCCATGCGCGTGGCCATCGCAAGCGCCTGCGCATACGTCAATGACGCAACCGCGTCCGAGTCGACCGATGCGGCGATGCTGAGCGCAACGTGCTGAGGGTAGCACTGCGCCGTGCGTGCAAAGAGGTGTGGCAGCGTCCACGTCGCTATCGGTGCGCGCAGCTCCGCCGCCGCGTGCAGTAGCCGTGGTTCGGTGCTAGTACGATCCGCCGGCTGTGGCATCGGGCCAATTGGCAAGTGTGGAGAGGCCATGTGGGGAGGCTACGCTTGCAGGACGTCGCCTTTCCGACTCAGATGGGCCACCCGTCGAACGATGGACGGGTACCTAAAATAGCGTCAAACGCCAAGCTACCTATAGTAATCGTAAGGCTTTCGACACGCAGGCGATTGTATCGACACCACGCTACTACAGTTGGTACGCACGCGCAGGCAATAATACATCGTGTAATGCTCCCCGCGGCCTTCTCTGCGACTTGGCATTTTCGATGCTTGAATTCTTGAGAGAGAGCGTGGGAACCGAAACTCTTTCTGAAGAAGAGCATGGGTTCCATCGAGATGGCCACGAGAGCAGCAGCAGCGGCATTCTGCACTGCACACACTGCACACGACGAGCATTATTAGAGACGGGTGCACTTGCGACGTGCGATGGACCGTCGCGAGGATCATCCCGATGCGCGCTGTGGTCCTCGGTGTCACTCGAATATAATTATCTTGCCGCTGGGTTGTACAACACATGATGCAACACGGTGAATAGGAGCCGCACACGAGCATTCCAAAAGCTCTCCTGTCTCGCAAACATATTGCGTGAACCCAAGATCGCGTCCTCAACATGTCGTTCCCTCACGTGCTGCTAGTCAATGCCTATATCGACTTTACTCGTTTTCTTTTCGAGGTCGTTGCCAACGCGTAGGAACCTCGACCCGTGACCGACGGAAATCATTATTCGTAGCCGAAGCAGATGGAAGCACAGGTATTCATTCCAGCATATGTTTCAAGATGATCGTCGTCATGGGCATCGTTGCGATAAAACCCACGCAGCGGTTGCACGCCGGCATCAAGGGTCTTGAAATAGCTCTCCAAACACCGCCTTCATCGTGATAGTAACGACTTCTAAAAAGGCCGCTTAGCAGATCCATGACGGCCATGACGGCCATGACGACCGCGCCCGGCGCGTCCAAGATTGCCGTCTCGTCGGCGGCGTCGATGGCGGCCCGGTCGCTGGCGCCGACCATCCACGTCAAGCTTTTCCCCGCGTCCGCCTTTGACATTTGGTCGCTCGGCATGGTGATCGTGATTGGCGGCCAGTACTTTTGCTGGAACGTCGGGCTCGCGGCTGGCGTCTTGAGCAATGCGCTTGCGCTCTTCTTCATAGGCACCGCGTACGTCTGCCTCATCCTCAGCATGTCGGAGATGACAGCGACGCTGCCGTTTGCGGGCGGCGCCTACGGCCTCAGTCGGTGCTGCGTCGGGTACTTTTGCGGCTTTGTCATTGGCTGCTGCGAAGCGCTCGAGTACATTGCGTACGTGAGCAGCAGCGTGCTCACGCTCGGGCACATGCTGCAGGTCATCTTCCCGGGGATCCCAACCGAGTACATGCCGCTCGTGTGGCTCGCCATCTACGGCGTCGCCGTGGCGATTCACATTGTCGGCGGGCGAGTCTTCTGGAACTTTACGCGCATGCTCGCAGTCGTCTCGACACTCTTTGTTCTCATCTACCTTCTGGGGTCGCTGCCGTCTGTGAGCTACGCCAAGTTCGGCGGCGGTGTCGACCATTTAGTCGTGGGCGGCTTTCAGGCGTTCTTCACCAACATGCCGCTCGCTGCGTGGTTCTTTGTGGGCATTGAAGCACTAAACACACTCTGCAGCTCGATCGAGAACCCCAAGGATGTCATCCCGCGAGGCCAGGTCGCGTGTGTGCTAACGCTGTTTCTCAGCGGGTTTGCTGTCTTGTTTGTGTCTGTGAGCTTGCCGCCGGGGGCCGTCAACCTGCCGGGTGTCCTCGCTGTCTTCAACCCAGGTGCGACTGCATGCATCTGGCGTTCTTGACGTATTTCGGTGCTCTCAATAGGGTTTATCTTGATGTTTGGTATTGCCGAGGACATGGCGATGATCCTCTCGATCCCCGCCACCTTTGCCACCATCTTTGGCTTCATCTTGGCGTACGCCAACATCCTCTCGGCACTCGCCAACTCAAAGCTGTTGCCCGGTTGGATCGGCGCCGTGCACCCGAGGTTCCACACCCAAGCCAACGCGTTGATCGTTGGCTCGGTCCTCGGTTACCTCCTCTGCTTTTGCGTCACGTATAGCTCGACACTGGGCACCGAGCTCTTCAACATTTGCATGTTTTTCGGCTTCTCGGCCTACCTTGCGCAGTGTGTCGGGTATCTCTACCTCAAGCGCGAGTTCAGCCACTTGCCAAGGAGCTTCACCAGTCCAGTCGGCAAGCTTGGGGTCTACTATGCAGCGATTGTGTGGAGTATGAACTGGATCTCGATCGTGTGTTGCCAAAAAAACGCCGCGTTCCTCCTCTCGGTCGTGAGCTGCATTCTCACTCTGCTCGTGACTTATTACCTCGGGTATGCCAAGCACCGCCAGACCTTCTCGGACGACGAGCGCAAGATTTTGTTCTTTGCCCACGTCGCGAAAAGTGCGTAGTATTCGGAATTGAGGATGATACGACTGACAATATGCACCTTTACTCTAGGCAACCAGCGCAAGCGGAAGAAGAAGGCGCGCCAAAAGACACTTCCGCGCTGGGCCCTCGCCCTTTTTCGCGTGCTCGAGTGGTTTCGGCACATTTGGAGTTTACGAACACGCTCTCAGAGCCTCTCAACGACGGGAAATTCAATGACGCGTAGCTCCTCACCGTGGCGCCAACGGTGGGATTCGTTCCGGCTACTGGACTTGCTGACGCCCAACCGTGTCGTGCACTTGGCACCACGCATCCACGTCGCGCCGCATGGACCGCGTGTGAACGCGCCAACCGCCGTGAACTCTGCAGGCTTTCGCCCCGCCAGTGCAAAGCCGGCGTCCACGCGGCTCTCGGGCCACAAAGAAACCAATTTGCTCGTCGAAGAATTGAACTAACATGTCATCGTACGCTACGACGATGATACATTGTATTCTAGTGTTCTTCCTCGCTCGGTCGCCAGGATATAGATGAGCGCGTTCGCTTCGTTCGTACAAAAAAGACTTGGTTGCGCCTCGCCTCCGTGCGTAGGAATCGGCACTTGGTCGTGGGGAGTAAGCTGCATCGTATTCATCTAGTACGGAGAGACGACGAGCCACTGCATTCAATTGGCGCCTCGTAGACGGGACGCGCGAGGCGATCTAAATATATTTTCTAGTTCTGTTTCGGTCTACCGATGACCACGCCACCGCTGCTCCGCGCCTCGGCCTTGGACATTTGGTCGCTCGGCGTCGCGATCGTGATTGGCGGCCAGTACTTTTCGTGGAACGCGGGCCTGACGGCCGGCGTCGCCAGCAACGCGGTCGCGCTCGCACTCATGGGCTCGGCATACGTTTGTCTCGTGCTCAGCATCGCCGAGATGACGTCGACGCTGCCCTTTGCCGGCGGTGCGTACGGCCTTAGTCGGTGCTGCCTCGGGTACTATTCGGGTTTTATCATTGGCTGCTGCGAGGTCTTTGAGTACATTGCGTACGTGAGCAGCAGCGTGCTCACGCTCGGCCGGATGCTGCAGATCGTTTTTCCAGAGCTTTCGGACGCGTATCTGCCGCTCGTGTGGCTAGCGATCTACGTCGTCGCGGTGACCATCCACATCTGCGGCGGGCAACTCTTTTGGCCGCTCGTGCGCGCAATCGCGTTCCTCTCACTCGGCGTCCTTCTGCTCTACTGTGTCGGGTCGTTTCCGTTCGTTCGCTTCGACGTGTATGCAGGCAGCGCAAGCATTGGCGGCGCCTACAACTTCTTTACCACCATGCCGCTCGCCGCGTGGTTCTTTGTCGGTGTCGAGTCGCTCAACACGCTCGCCAATACGATCCAGGACCCCAAGCGCGTGATTCCCCGCGGCCAAATCTCCTGCGTCCTCACCTTGTGTTGCACGGGCATCACCGTCTTCTTTGTTGCTGTGAGCTTGCCCCCCAGCGCCGCATCCCTTCCCAGCGTCGTTGCTATCTTCAACCCCGGTACGACGCGCATAGCGCGAAGGACTGAAGCCTTGTAGGGTTCACTTTGATGTTTGGCATCTCGAATGCGATTGCAACACTGTTTTCAATCCCCGCCACCTTTGCCACCATCTTTGGCTTCATCTTGGCATACGCCAACATCCTCTCGGCGCTCGCCAACTCGAAGCTGCTGCCCGGTTGGATCGGCGCTGTGCACCCGAGGTTCCACACCCAAGCCAACGCGTTGATCGTTGGCTCGGTCCTCGGTTACCTCCTCTGCTTTTGCGTCACGTATAGCCCGACGCTGGGCACCGAGCTCTTCAACATTTGCATGTTTTTCGGCTTCTCGGCCTACCTTGCGCAGTGCGCTGGATACCTCTACCTCAAGCGCGAGTTTAAGCATTTACCACGGCAGTTCAAGAGCCCACTTGGCAAGCTTGGGGTCTACTACGCAGCGGTCGTGTGGAGTATGAATTGGCTCTCGATCGTGTGCTGTCAAGGCAACACGGCGTACCTCCTCTCGTGCATAAGCGTCATTCTGGTGGCGTTGACAGTCTACTACTATGCGTACGCCAAGAGCCGGCAGTCCATCTCGGACGACGAGCGCAAGATACTTCTCTTTGTTCACGTGGCCAAAAGTACGTTTTCGTTGCAGACATACATATTGTCATGTGTTTTGTAGACAATAGCAACAAGAGCAAGCGCTCCCGTGCGCGGGCGTCGCGCTGGGGCCGTCTCAAGGGCCGGCTCGAGAGCCTTATGAGTAAAGCGCGGCGGTCGCACGCGAGCTCCCGCAATAGCGTCACGACCCTCGGCACCTCGTCGCGCGACTCGGTGCGTGCGCCGCATTTCTTCTCGTGGCTCGCGCCAGCGAAAACGGCGCCGGCACCAATGGGGCCACCAGGTGCTACGACGGTCGTCGCCAAGCTTGACGGTACTACGATCAAGCCCCACACGGTCGCGCCCACGGTGCACGAACTGCAGCCAATTCGGCCCGCTGAACCGGCCATGCACGTCGAAGACGTCCACTAAGCGGCCAAATACCTATCCTGCACATGCACAGACCATTGAAGCCGACCGTGTTGTGTTGCTACAATGAGAACTTGGTCCATGACGCAGCAAAATAGCATTTAGACCACATACTCGAGCGATTGCAGGAGTGCAATAGTGGCTCACGTGGTCGCTTGAAGACGTGACACGGCACTCTCAACGAGCAGCGGCAAGTCACGAGCCACCGCGATGCTTGCAAGCACAAGGTCGCCAAGAGCGGGTTTCGGCATGAGAAAGGCCAGGTTGCGCATGGCAATCTTCCGCGCCGGCCAATCAAAAGCGAGCAATCTCGCAAGGTTGCGTCCGTTTTCCTATTTCAAGCGCTGGAACGGACAGTGCAGCAACACAACCATGGGCGCGACGGGCTCGTGCGAGGTGTTTGGCGACGGCGAGCTCGAGGCCGAGCTCACCAAGCGCGGCGGCCGTGGTGACCTTAGCGTGACGCAGGCCGTGCAGAGCGGCTACAACCAAATGATTTCGTGGCTCCTCCAGCCGCAG